ACTAATAAAAACGCGTAAGTGGACTAACATTTCTGATTGATTGACTACTTTATTTTGAGCTTTCAAAATATACATCATGCCTACTATGCATGCAGATTTAGCGCTGAGTTTCATGTCTGGATACCTCATTGAATTTCCACAAGAATTTGAATTTGAGTACATATCATAAAAGTAATTTTCTCACAAAATAATAATCTTCTTTATAAATTCAAGCATATACCCAAGATGTAAGACAAGAAAGGTTGATAAAAGAAGCTACACAGATTTTACCCTCCTGTTAACAACCATCTGCTACTCTGTGTTGGTCTTTTACCAAACTCCCAAGAAATATATTGACATTTGTGGCAAATGGAAAGACAGTTTGTGGGTGGGAATGCTTTTAAGTTCACAATACCACTGAACCCACTGCATAGTATATTGAGTTTGACCCCAGGAGAAAATATTGAGATGATGGAAGTCCAGTTATTACAGATTATGCTACGCATAGCAAGGACAATTTTAACTCTGTCCTGGCTCAAGCTTTTTTCTCCCACCCTTCCACAATGGCAAGAAAGATTGAAGAATGTGTATATAATGGCAAATAATAATAGCAAAACTTCATGTAAAAATTGACAATTTTCTGAGTGTATGGGCCCCAGCTATTTCCCACTTTGAATGGCCACATGGATAAAGATGCTATGGGTTATAAAAAGCTGTGTCAGTGTTCCCATTCTATGTCTTTTTCTTTTAATGGAAGACACTGGATATGTAGACCTCCCTTTCATGTGAGCCCATGAGGAGCTTTCTAAGAAAAGTCAATTGCCAAAATAGATTTAAATGTTTACTGAGTCCCCACACCCCTTTTTTTTGTTTCTCTCTCTTTTCCATTGTACTACGTAAGTGCATGTATTAATATACACATGCATATATGTCGGATTCATAATATTCTTAAATAATGTTTAAAAAAGACACTACTTCAGGAAAAGAAAATGTAAGAATTCTCTTACTGTGCAAAATTTATATTTCATTTTGTCTGCATCTGTTTTTCAGGCTCTTTTTTCCCAGCACTGAAACCATCAGAATCTGTGTTTAAGTTTATCTTTTGGCTGGGATACTTCAACAGCTGCATCAACCCAGTGATCTACCCCTGCTCCAGCAAAGAGTTCCAGCGGGCGTTCACTCGGCTCCTCAGATGCCAATGTCACCAAAAGAGGAGAGTCCTGCGCCGCTTCTATGACCAGAGGTGGAGAACAGCTGTAAAGGGAATGACCAGGGATCAGATGAGGGACTACGCTGCTGGCTATCCAATGCACGAATCTTGTGGAAGGTCATTGATACACCAGAGGAAACACTGCTCCCTGGGGTTAAAGAAATTGAGCTTTTTTTCACCCCTGCAAAAGTCCTCCTTCCAGTTCAAAGAAAAAGTGAACGATCTCTCCAATAAAATAAAAGGAGGAACAGGAAAAGGCACCCCACCTGCCCTGGGTGAGACTGAAACAGTGGAAACAGTCTCTATGGGGATTTACAATTCCTGTGAGCAGAGCAGTTTTCAGTTCTACGATTTGGCAGAGTGTTACGGCCTTAAAGAGACTGACATTTAGAAAGCCTCTGAGGACACTTAGCTATTTTCAAAGGACCATGCTGCTCCTTCCCTCTAGACACTGTGATGGAGCACACTTCTGTGGTCAGAAAATACAAAGAACAGCAAAACTAACAGTAATGACTTGATACCAGCACAAACTGGACTTAACCTTCGTTTCATTGCAAGTTTTGTTTATGTACATGATGTGGATAAAAAGTACAGTTTTGACTCCCTGGATTTATATTTAGTCGTTTTAACACATGTTCATGTTCCTCAGCCCATAACGTGGGTTAGTCTGTGTTGATGTGTTTTGTTAAATTATATTTCTGACAGCCTCCTTGTGTTCAATTATTAGACGACTGATGATGTGTATAATGCAACTGTGACATTATATACATTTATACAGATGAAAATAAAATAAGAGGAACAACAATCTTTCAGCTGCTTGGAAAAAGTGTAAGCATAAAAGTCAAAAGTGCAATTTTTATTGTCGACTCAAACTTTGGAGTGTAATATATCAGAAATATTATATTCCTTCCGAATTCTTTGTAAAGTTTGTCTTCTGTTGCATTTGTAGAGCAATCTGATACAAATATATACATCAAAATGTAATTTGCCCTGGCAAGTGATCGCAAATGTGAAATAAATGTGCTTCTTTGTGTTTTGTAATGTAATGTTTTTGTCAGATGTAACGCAAAATAAAAAGGGAGAAAAAATATTTGAGAGAAAAAAATATTTAAGAAAAATATTTTTATGCTTGACAAAAGAACACACTGTTAAATGAATCCACTGAATTTAGAAAATGTCATTGTTTGATTTGGACCTTTTTCTCTATGAGACCATTCATATATTGTTTTGATTCAAGGTTATGCTTTGTATGTTCTATAAATTATTCTTAAAAGCAATTCATTAAATGTACAATCTCTATTTTATACGGCTGTGCACAACTAATGTTGCCGTTTCGTTCTAAACTAAAGATCTATTTCACAGTTTTAACGAGAATCTTTATTACAATTGTGTACACAACAAATGGGAGCACAGAAATAAATCAGTGGTTAGTGAAAATTAAGAATAGTCATCAAATGTAAAAATAAAACGTTCATATTCGGTTTCCATAAACAAGGGAGGTGAGGAGCAATGGAAGAAAAGAGTATACCATAGCTGGCCTTTATGCTAGAAGTGTTTATCTGTGTGCAACCACTGCACTATTTATCCATTCAGTTAACTACTTTCCAACAAGGTTTGTATTCATAGAACTTTTTAGAGGGGTTTTGGAGAACACAGCAAGGAGTATGTGGCGTTTACTCTGCCAACAAGATTTTTGGATCTCCATCTGGTGGGATCTGATGACCCCTGTTGGTAGCAGACCTACACAATCCCAGACTGCCGGTATTTACTCAACATTCAAAGATAAAGACAGAGGATAAAGAAGGGTAAGAAAAAGTAGACACACCCAGAATCAGAATATATTTTTAGAAGTATCTCTTATATTTACTCACTCATTCCTGAAAAAAAACAAAAAAGGGTGAAAGAAAAAACTTTTCAAAGCTTTTTACCAACTCTTGTCAGAAAAGTCATCCACAGCCATATGTTGATTCCACTTTCACAGCTTGCAGTTACATGAAGCATCAGAGGGAGCCAAAGTGACAGCCTGCCCAGACTCCTAATTGTGAACTGACAGCTTTGATCCTGTTTTAAATATATGACTCTGAGTGAGGCTCTGCGTTAATAAACAGACTGCAGCTGGTGGCTGATTATTTTGAGAAGGACTCATTTGCAGTGCAATCTGGGCACTCAGTATCCAGGATTAAGCTACAATTTACATTAGGAGGCAGTATGCAGAAGAACACAGACCTTCAAGTTATGTTTTCGAAAGCCAATTCTTTCACCTTACTGCATACAGTATTAGACATATAGTGAATTATGCTTTCAACATTTAGAAGCTGTCAGCAGATGTGCATGTAGCATCACACAAAACCATATTCTTGTTTTGAATAGCTTGAAATTAAGTAGACAGGCGTTTTGCTTTTTTTTTTTAAATCAATCAATCAGTCAATCAAGTTTATTTGTATGGCAACAAGGCAGTTCAAAGTGTTTACATAATAAAAACATAAAAATATTATAAACACACAATAATACAGTCACCAATTATGAAACCAGTAATGGACATTGCATTTTATCAAGTGCCATCTTTGAAATCATCAATAAACATCAAAATTAATGTTCCATTAATGACTATTAATTTTATTTAGTACGTTTAGAACATACAAGTATCTTGTGTATTAATTTAAAACATTTGAAAGAGAAACAAAATATGTCCCAATAAATAAATAAACAGATAAATTAGGACTTTTTCTTGCTTTAGGTTCTGATGTGAGGCCGACTGCAAAGGGAAACTGTAATCAGTGCGTCCGACTATTTTTTACAGGTTTGTTTGATATATCTAGATAATCACTTGGTTATCATTATAAAGAATTTGTTGTTACATAGTCATATGTAGTTTATGCTTCAAAAATCAGTTTTGTGTCTTCTGCTCACCTTAATCCTTTAGTAAGGTGATGACTGAAACCAGTTTAGTAACTGGTTTCAAGCTAGTTTCAAGCTATGTGAAACTTAATATTACCTATAATATCACCTATAATATCAAGTTTTGTTGATCCATAGGTGAATGGTTCAGCATGATGTAAATGGTTCAGCATGATGTAAATAAACACACCATGCTTATAAACTACACACAGAATAATATGCGTTTTTTATGAAAAATCTTAATACTGGACAAAAACTAATTGAACTGAATTTTCCATTTACATTTATACCAGTACCATTAATGCTCACTGCTGCAAATTAAAATAAAACAGAACGGAATAGAAACTTTATCATCTTAAATTGGATTTAGTAAAACATGACATTGTTCATTTACATTAGTCTATAAACAGAAGATGAAATACGCAAACTTTTTCCAAATATACCAGAACAATATCGAAAGCATTTACATTTTATATCAGAGAAAATAAAAAAAAATGTTCACCTGCAGCTTATCACAGTGTGCAATATTTAATGTGTGCAATGGTAAGCATGACCAACTGAACCTTTTCATAAGAGAAACACAAAAGCTTTTTACTGTTCACATTTAGAAAGAAAATATGACAGTTTGAAACCTGTGGTTTGAAAGGTTTGTTTATGAGACTAATTGTTTTCAGTGAAAGGACTTTAATTAAAGTTTAGTTAAATTTTTTAAGGGTTAGGTAGCATCTACCTAGTAGTGGAGATAAAAAAAATTTTATGGGGGTGGTCAGGCTGGAACTGCTGCCCTCTCAGGGCTCTGGCGAGTGTTCTGGAGTTTGATTCAATATTGTCACCCAAAAGTCTTGCTCTTATTTGAGGTTTTTATAACTACACAAAACACATACAGATGCCTTAATTTCACAATGATTCTACATTAGTTTTTCTCTTTCTTAGAATGCGACAACTCCATTCCGGACGATATTCCAGGCAGACACACTTTGCAGCTGAGAAACATGAGGAACGCCCTACGAAAGCAGCGATTGAAAAATCCATACAGGAAGGGATTTAAAGATGAGTTTATATATCCCAACCAGAGAAAAACATCCCAAACGATCCCTTCGGTGGTGTACTCAATGAATGGATCCACAATGTTGACAGTGAAGAAAGGCATCCAGAAGATAAGGAAAACTCCCATTATGATGCCTAAAGTTTTTGCGGCCTTTCCTTCCCTCTTCATAGTATTGCGGTGTCTTTTTTTCTTGCTTGAGTCTTTGCCCACTCCAGCAGCCATTTGGCTTTCCATGGCACTAATCTGCTTGGCCTGTCGCTTCGCAGCTTTGAAGATCTTCCAATATGCCATGAGCATAATAGCCATTGGCAAGTAAAAGGCTACCAAAGAGGCCATGACAGCATAAACACGGCTGACCAAGAACACACACACGTCTGAAGGAATAAAGATGTCAACATCAGCAACATGAAGATCTAGCATTATGGGGCCAAATGAAATGAGCATAGGAACAGTCCAACAAATGGCAATGAGGAGAGCTACATGACTGTTGGACATCTTTAGGGAGTAAATCAGGGGATTGCAGACCGCATAATACCGATCAAAGGCAATGCAGCTGAGATGGAAGATAGAGGCAGTACACAGCATGACATCTAGGCTGGAATGAAGCCTACAAAAAAGAGAACCAAAGTACCAACATCCCTCAACAGTTCGAATCATGCTAAAAGGCATCACTAGCAGCCCAACAAGGCAGTCAGCCACTGCAAGGGACAGAACAAAAGAATTTGTTGGAGACTGTAGCTGTTTAAAGTAGGAAATAGACAAGACAACTAAGAAGTTGCCCACAACAGTGCAGCCTGTGCCAACTGAGAGGAAGGCATACAGGAAAATCCGTGAGATGTGGCTCCTCAGTGTGGCGCATGATGGTAGTTCAATATGAAGAGAAGTGTTATCATTTCCAAGCCATGCCAGACTGCTGTTCTCCATGGTCTGCTCAAACCTGTCAAAACACGCATTCAGATGTGAATACAGAAACACATGAAAAATACCTTCAAAGAATTTTTATTTTACATTAGCCAAAATATGGACGTTGGCCTCATGGAGTTTGGCCATAAGGCTGTGACCTTATGGAGTTTATTGATATAAACTCCATAAGTTTATATCAAACTCCATAAAGTATCTATGTAGTATTGTGAACAGAAAGATGAGAAAAAACAGAGCCAACAAAGCAGATGAGCTAAAGGCCAATATTGAAGCAACCTGGGCTTCCTCAACCCCTCTGCAGAGCCATATAATGAACGCCTCCATGTAATGTTCCGCTGATGCAGTAATACCCGAAAATGATCTCTGGTCAGGTATTCAATGCAATACTAAGATATACTAATCAATAGGCTGGCATTTTTGTGTTAAACTCCTTTTTATTAGTTTTATATAATATTCCAGTATTCAGACAAAATACATTTTGGTTTTTCAATTGGTGGAAAGAGCTTGGACTTTATCATGTATACACATTGTGAATATAGAGTTGTCCTCTGACCCTGATCTCTGTGTGAATACACAAATTTTTTCAGGTCTATGTGAACTTTAACTATTTTTCTTAATGCTGAATCCTATCGACATATCTGCTACTTAATGTGGCTCAAGCAGTTTACAGTTATTAAAAAAAGCATCATTGTTTTTCCTCCCTTACAAATTGCTTTGCAAACCATAAAAGTGGCTAAGATGTTTTAAAAAGGTAATATTTGACTAAACATTTTGTTATTTGCTTGTGGCAATTAAAAATAGATCTAAATAGTTTACAAAATCTAGTTTTATCTCTTGGCTACATTAGTGCCTGTTGTGGATTATTGTAGAAATAGCTTATGGATGATGCTGACAGAAACAAGGCTAGACCATACAAGCATGTTTCAAGCGTCAACTAAAATAGCTGCAAGCCTCCTCTTAGCCAATGGTACGAAGAATAGCAATCACAAACTTATTTTTATATATATTGTTTGCATTAGGTTATGATCTAAAGTAACTCACGTGAACGGAGGAGAGCTGATCGTCTGCCCTCATGTCTGTTCCATAGTAAAAGGCTCTGTCAGCCTTTGTTTCATCCAGATGACAGAGATGGGAAAGGTGGGAGGTGGGTTTTGATGAATGCATGCAACAATAACTACCAAAAATATATTCTGCCAACAACTCCCTTGCCAAATCAATTTCAATTATTATAGAAATGACAGCTGAGGGACTTAGAATTGTATATGCTCTGATGAAACAGTCAGCTATTTGTTGTATGTTAAAAAAAACTTTGTAGCATCCAAGCATAGAAATAAATTAGACAGTATTCTTAATAAAGTTGTTAATCATAGAGGAATTTAGAATTTAAGCTTATAAATAGTTGCTTTTAAGAAAACTAATTCACACAGAAGAGAACAGCAATAACAAATGCCATTTTAAATTAACTTTAGGACTTATTAGCAAATATTTACAACTCAAAATACTTTGATACTTTGCTGTATGTAATGTAAAAGAGGGCGCTGCCACTGAAAGTAGGACCAGATACATGAAAACGTTCAAATGTTTTCCGAACAAGTTAATTGTGGTTTACATGGACAATTACAGAATTTTGCCACTGTGCCACTTCAAAATTAGTGGGGCCTCCGGGCCTCCTATAGCACTGAAATGCTTTTCCTTCATTCAATGCCTCCATGCAATGTATGGAAGGCAACTATTACTCTACACCCTAAAATAACTGCAGCTTCCTTTCACCGTTACAGTGGCACATGCATCCATCCATCCCTATGTATCAAAATGACTGGATCCAGGCATGCGGGCTAATACTTCTGTTGGCATTTCAAGTAACCATGTCGACGTAATAATATAATAATAACAAGCCAAATTAAAATCAAACTTCTAACTGTTCACTTTTTTGTGTCAGAGTCAAAACAGAGATAGAATTTTGTCTCCCCCTTTGTCTCACTCACACATAACAGTTTTCGGAGAGAATTAATTACCATAGCAATAGAACAGTGATGAGAGCAGAGATGTAGGAACACTAAGATCCTACAGAGGAGGGCAGAGCTTCCAGTTGGACCTACAGGGCACCACCTTGGTGGAAAACTTACCACAGACAAGAATGTATGTTTTATAATATATTTACCACCAATGACAAAAGAACACATGAAATCTTATGTTTTTTTTTTAACAAGAACAATATTTGTTGTTAATCTGTTGCTAAGAGATGAGCTCGTTTTCTAGTAACCAAATGAAAAGAAGTAAACATCTGAGTTTTACTTTTGCATAATTTACCTTCAGATCTAATAACTTCCTCTAGTATTTCACAGCAAAATCTCAGAATATTTCTAAAACCATAAGCTGAGAAGGTCTTATGGGAATATCTGAAAACAATTCTGAGGTATTTTTTTCATAGGTGCAAATTTTTACACTCTACAAAACAGCTCTTGTCATCCTTTTCATGTGCGCCAGGGTTCAATAGACCTAAAACAACCGTCTTGAGCTCCTGGGGCTCAGCCAGTGACAACAGCTTTTCAAGTGTGGCAAATATATTCTAATTAAACATAGGGGAATTTTTAATTAGGGCTTGAATAAGAGTCTCAATAGCTAATTTTTTGTATTAACAAACCAGTCATTCATATGAGTAGAATAAGTGTGCTCCACAGGCAAGGCAGCATGGTGCACATGTGTTCCTCAAATGAGATCATGTTGATTCTAGTGCGTTGTTGAATTCAATAGACTGCAAATAAGGTGACCTACCTCATATGATTACTCATGTCATTATAAATACCCTGTGATGTTAAAAAAAAAAAATCTATGCACAAAAAAACCCTAGCGAACACAGAAGCTCATATTACTTCATTTGACCGTATTTGTCAGTGTCCATCCCTATCCTATCTCAATGACAGGAGATAAATGGTTGTCCTTTAACGATAAGTTGGTTCTCTGCCATCAGCACTTTTAGCAGTGAGTAAATAAGGTTGATTGACAGCTATAAGACCCTCCTCCTAGTACTGATTGGTTGTTTTTGGTTGGTACACAGCAATAGTAGCTCATGGAGGAGATTATCTGAGTCATAGCAAACTATCGCGACATGGTGACATCTTTAACAACTGTGGAAGAAAAAAATGTTTTTATTAAAGTTATGTACTGCAGCTTGAACAAAATGAAACAACATAGCATTTTTTTGAGAAGCCTGGATTGCTTTATGTAAATTTTGCATGTTGCCTGTGTCTATTGCTGGTTGGGAGAGACCTTTATCTAAGCTCAGACTAACAGTTAAAAAACAATTAAGCAAACTATTTGCATGCAGTACACTGACTGATCCATGTAAAATCCACTAGAAGTAAATTTTGTGCTGGTATCAGTATTGAACCCAAAAAACAAGGCAGTTGCAAGTCTTTAAAATTGTTTGCTTTTGATGGGTCAGATAGAAGCCGTCTCTTTCTATCCCTTCTTAGAGATAAACAGAAACTTTCTTTCAAAAAGGAAAGAAAGGGAAAAAAATCATCCAAAATGTTCGGATTATTTCTGAGTTATTTTCAAGGGGTAATGGCAAAGGGCAACATAAAGTATCAGGGCTTAAATCATTTTTAACTATTCTTACAGATGATATATTGAGCTTAAAAAAATCTGTGCAAAATTATCCATTAAGTTCGGCAGAAGGCAACCCTCTGCTGGTATGTGCATCCTACTACATACGGGCATGAAATCCAGCTTTTTTGCAAATGAATACTGAAACTTTTTAGATAGAGAAAAACAAATTGTGCACAGTTATGCAATTTCAATTGTCTAATCAATCATGATGACAGTTTCAATCAATCAAATCATCATCTATTGTCAATATTTACGTGTCCCTTTAGGTATCGTGTTTCTTGTTTCCTGAGTAATGTTGTAAAGGTAGCTCAATTCACTTTAACTTCACTCTTCTGAAAATTAGAATTTAATTTTGCCTTCATCGGGCCATAGGACAAGGTAGTCAAGACCTTTTTTCACAACTTCAATTCCAAACTGCTTTGGGCTTTTTTGTTTTGCTTTTAAAGTAATTTATTTCAGAGTGAGGTTTCAGTCCTTATTGGTAGAGGGCTCATTACAGTGCTGATAACAGAAAGGACACAGAAGAAAGCATCTTAAAGTCTTCTGCTTTAGGTCTTTGGCTGATTTGCTTATTTTGAATCAAAATGTGAATTGCTGCAGCACAGCACTCATCACCTACCTGATCGGTAAAGTAGTTGGCCATGGCAGTTGTGTTTATACTTGAATAAAACAGTTTGGCCAAACAAATGGAGACAATTTAAATATCTAAGCATTTTATCAAGGGATGTATTCACTGACAAACTTCACAATTCTCCGTTAGAGTCCTGCTTATCTCGACAAATAATTAAAATTTAATTCAAATCGTCTTAATCAAAAACTTACAATGCCATAATGTCAACATAGGTCTTTATAGGTAACATTTTATTGCATTTTTGATCCATAGTAGAATTAATCCTTTGCATTTTGTAAACATACATAAAATATTCAACAGAAATCATTAAAAGTTCCTTATATATTGCTTAACACAGATAATTGTCAGGACATTACAGTGTACTATCAAACAACTTATATAATATAGCAGGTTAAATTACAAATTCTTCAATATAACAAAAAAATTCCCTCTTCTCATAGCATTATACACACACCATGCTGACCACATTGAGATTCTTTGGGGGGCAATATAGATTTAAATGAAAAAATTTTTGCTGAGTCAGAAATTACATTGAGCAAGACACATATCACCCATGATAATTTAGACATTAGTTGTTTTTTTTTTTTACATTAAAGTTATTACTGAAAAAAATCAAAGAAATATGTATTTAAAGAACAAAAAAGATACATGTGTTGATTACTAAATTAAATAGGGCATGTCAATTTGCTTTCTCAAACTTTGACCCACAGGACACATCTTTTTACCACATATGGTAAGTTTCACAGTGTGCATGTGTTATGTCAAACTTGGATATTACTGCATGCCTTCTTGCATCAAATGACAATGCATATGCTTCGAGTACTATGAGTTGATCAGCATCTGTGCCACAGCCAGCATGATTAGTGAAAAGAAGGTCAAACTTCCCACTGTGGGTTGAGGAGGACCGCCCGATGCTGTTGATTTGAAAATATTAAAAACAGAATTAGATATATTAGTGAGAAAATTCTTTAGAATTGTACTACAAATTCCACAAATGACTTGAAAGAATGACTGTGTGAAATGGTGTTGAACTTTTTTTATTGCTAATACTTTTGTTTAGCATTATACTTTGTAATTTTAATGTTAACTCTTTATTGTACTTCAATGTCTGCATGTCTTGTAACTTACCTAAAACCAGACTGCCTTTAATATATTCCAATACGGTAGAACTAAGAAGCTCATTTTCCAGCAGTGACTGAGCACTGCTTAAATTCGGAAGAAAATTGTTGTTTCTGAACACCAGAGTCATGTTGACAATCACAGATCCATTCCTTAAGTAGAACAAATGAAAAAAAGTCTAATTATAGCACCTTAAAAAGCAACTTAATGACAAAACATCAATTAAAGATATACAGCGACAATAATATAGTCTTACCTGAAGGAATTGACGCGTGAGCGACTGAAACCACCGAAGAGGTCAACGCAAATTCTGTTAATCTGAAAGAAAATGAAAATGTTAAACAGTAGCACTCAGTAAATGTGCTAAAGTTGTAGTGATATGTGTTCCCCTTATATTCAAGCATTTTGTTAAAATACCATTATATACATCCCTATTTATTTAATTTTGGCAGTCTTATTACACAAAGAGATTACAATGTAAAGTTAAACTACCTCCTTGACCACAGTTGAGGCCAATTGGAGAAATGCTGTTGAAGTGATGTCGGCCAAATCTGAGGTAAAATCTCTTTGGAGACCAAATTTCATGAAAAGAAATCCCTCAGTGGCAGATGGAGGACCTGTGGGTGCTGCAGTTGTGGTTGGCGCTGCTGTAGTCACTGCTGGAATTTCAAATTTTACAGCAGAAGTTGTAAAATCAGTATTCATTGACAGGAGAAATTTATAGTAACCCAGATTAAGCTAAAGGGCGTCACAAGCAAAAGATAAATGCAGGAACAAACCTAACACAATTAACTATAAGTAACATGCTTGTGGCAATTAAATGTTACAAATAAACAAATGGAAATTCTCTAATTGTTGTTTCAAAAAAATAAATGAATAAAATGATGAGCACAAAAAAGTTTTGGCTAGAAAAGAGAATAAATTGTCTGGTGTAGACACAATGGATTTTTGTTTTATTGGTTTTCTATTCAGTAAAGTCATGCTAACTTCTGGTGAAGATTCTCTTTGTTATCGAGAAGCAATGTGAATGCAATATTGTGCCTGTGATGCTGATGACATGGTGACGGTCCAGTGATGAATTAGTGGTGATAAAGTTAGTATAGTAAAAAGAACAGTAAAATACCTCACAAATATTCTATTTGTTGGAAAGATATTATTATTACTATCATAAAAAAAATTTAAATAATCTTTAAGACTTCAAAGATTGCAGGAAGGAATAAACCAAGCTTAGATTCTGTGATGCTTTTAATAATTATCTTATATTTTATGACACAGAAGGATTTTCTTTATTCAATTGGAAAACACCATAAACTGTTGGCAGAGTTGCATTGAGTGAATGTACAAAAATCTCCTCATCTCTCCTTCCTAGAGGAAGTTAAACTATATGAAAGGGTTGTGTCTTGTAGTTACCTGTTGTATTCACATTTGGAGAAATAGTCGTTATCAACTCTCCTGCAAAATGACAAAGAACATCAGGACTTTTGGAATAGTTTTTGGTATAAATTTAAATCCAATTGTTCTTCATCTATTTTATGTAATAAACAACCAGATGAAAAAATAAACACTTACTTGTTACAACTACACTTGTTACGTTCAGTGTGAAGTTCAAGCTGGCGCTTTCGTTCACCAGAGTTTCTGCAACAACTTGAGGGTCTGGCACAGAGCTCGCATTTGCAAATATCACCTCGGAGTCAACGACAATTGAACCTCGTCTGCAAAAAGGAAATTGTTATTGCAGTTTTTATTTCTAACAAACATCACAACAACAATACATTATTTAATATTCTGAATGTTTTATTACAAATTAAAATTTGGGCACAACTGCTCAATGATTTGAGTCACACAACAGAAGAAGTTTAAGATCTTAATATGACTTTTGGGAATTTTCTATTTTACCTTTTTAATAATTTTTTTGACCAACACCAATATTTACCTGAAAGCCCTGATTAGAACTCGCAGAAAATTCCTGAATCTCCGCTTATAGATGTTATCCAGCTAAAGAATTGAAAAATAGTAAAAGACGTAAGTCATGGGAGACAGTTGATATTCACAAAGAATGCTCGGTTAACAAGTCTAATTCTGTAACACACTCTGATCTTGTTATTGTATATTGATCCAGTTTCATTCAATATATACTTCAATTATGAAACAACAAAAAATTAGATAAGCTTACGTTGTTAGCTATTCTTGTTGCTAAACTGACAAACACTGGAGTTCCAGGCGATTCCAGGCCCGCGACAAAAGTTTCTTCCAGTTTAAATGTCATCTGGAGCTTTGAATCTGCTGGCACTGGAGTTGTTGCTGGAATAACTGGTTTTGCGATTGATATTGAAAAGATGACATTATTATTATTATTGTTGTTATTACCACATTAAATCAACACTTTTTAAAACTTCTAACATTTCAGTTTGTCTGTGGAGAATGGTAAAATATCTGCAGTGCTTTTAATATTTATCCTCTAATTTAATACTTGATTTCTTCAATCAGAAAAGAATATTACCTGTTGTCAAAGTTGCATTGTTTGGAGTTGGGGTCACAGTGGTTACTGGTGCCGTTGCATTGTTTGGAGTTGGGGTCACAGTGGTTACTGGTGCCGTTGCATTGTTTGGAGTTGGGGTCACAGTGGTTACTGGTGCCGTTGCATTGTTTGGAGTTGGGGTCACAGTGGTTACTGGTGCCGTTGCATTGGTTGATGTTGGGGTCACAGTGGTTACTGGTGCTGTTGCATTGGTTGGATGTGAAGTTATATGGGAAAAGCTTGATTAGAAACCATAATCAAGCAACGTTTCCCTCATATTATGTTGCATGCATATTAGTGCGAAGCAATGTATGCAATATAGTGCTTGTGATACTGATGTTACAGATTTTGTCTGGTCAGCAATTAGTGTCGATGAAGATAGTGTAGTGAAAAGTACAGTAAAATACCTCAGAAACGTTCTATTGTTGGAAAGATATTATTATTACAATCATAAAAAACATTTAAGTAATCTTTAAGACTTCAAAGGCTGCAGGAAGAAAGAAACCAAGCTTAGATTATGTGGTGCTTTTAATAATTATCTTATATTTTATTATATAAAAGGACTTTATTTATTCAATTGGAAAACACCATAGATTGTTGGCAGAGTTGCATTGAGTAAATGTACAAAAATCACCTCATCTCTCTTTCCTAGAGGAAGTTAAACTATATGAAAGGGTTGTGTCTTGTAGTTACCTGTTGTATTCACAGTTGGAGAAATAGTCGTTACCAACTCTCCTGCAAAATGACAAAGAACATCAGGGCTTTTGGAATAGTTTTTGGTATAAATTTAAATCCAATTGTTCTTCATCTATTTTAGGTAAAAAACAACCAGGTGAAAAAATAAACACTTACTTGTCACAACTACATTTGTTACGTTCAGTGTGAAGTTCAAGCTGGCGCTTTCGTTCACCAGAGTCTCTGCAACAACTTGAGGGTCTGGCACAGAGCTCGCATTTGCAAATATCAATTCGGAGTCGACGACAATTGAACCTCGTCTGCAAAAAGAAAATTGTTATTGCAGTTTTTATTTCTAACAAACATCACAACAACAACACATCATTTAATATTCTGAATGTTTTATTACAAATTAAAATTTGGGCACAATTGCTCAATGATTTGAGTCACACAACAGAAGAAGTTTATGATCTTAATATGACTTTTGGGAATTTTCTATTATACCGTTTTAATAATTTTTTTGACCAACACCAATATTTACCTGAAAGCCCTGATTAGAACTCGCAGAAAATTCCTGAATCTCCGCTTATAGATGTTATCCAGCTAAAGAATTGAAAAATAGTAAAAGACGTAAGTCTTGGGAGACAGTTGATATTCACAAAGAATGTTCGGTTAACAAGTCTAATTCTTTAACACATGCTGATCTTGTTATTGTATATTGATCCAGTTTCATTCAATATATACTTCAATTATGAAACAACAAAAAATCAGATAAGCTTACGTCGTTAGCTATTCTTGTTGCAAAACTGACAAACACTGAAGTTCCAGGCGATTCCAGGCCCGCAACAAAAGTTTCTTCCAGTTTAAATGTCATCTGGAGCTTTGAATCTGCTGGCACTGGAGGTGTTGCTGGAATAACTGGTTTTGCCATTGATATTGAAAAGATGACATTTTTATTATTATTGTTGTTGTTGTTGTTATTACCACCTTAAATCAACACTTTTTAAAACTTTAACATTTCAGTTTGTCTGTGGAGAATGGCAAAATATCTACAGTACTTTTAATATTTATCTTCTAATTTAATACTTGATTTCTTCAATCAGAAAAGAATATTACCTGTTGTCAAAGTTGCATTGTTTGGAGTTGGGGTCACAGTGGTTACTGGTGCCGTTGCATTGTTTGGAGTATGGGTCACAGTGGTTACTGCTTCCGTTGCATTGT